CACTTTCGGTTTTGTTAAATAGCCGAGGCCTTTGTAACTCTTACCATGTGCTGTCGGGCTGGGTCACTGTGTCTATGTCTGAAAATCTCTATATGAAGCACTAAAGTAGGATAAGAAATTACAGCAGCACCATTTTGATGAGTCCAGATGTTTTCAAGGTTGGAAATAAATCCTGACTCAGTGAAAAGAAGCTGAAGACATACAGAAAACACATAGGAAATGACTGAAGTGAGTTCTTCCTGCTCATTTACATTAGAAGTTATGAGCGGATGTCTCCAGTTAAAGGCAGAGCTCAAGTTAGGATTAGGTTTAAAAGACAAGATCCAGCTGCATGCTGTCTCCCAGAGGTTCACCTGGGACCCAGTGACACAAAGAGGGTTAAAGTGAGAGGGTGGGAAAGATCGTCCATACAGACATTAACCAGTGGAGATGTGGTGTGCCATCCCCATATCAGACAAGATGGACCCTAAGTCAAGGCCCTTGGAAGAGGTGGGTGAGAGTGAGGGATTCTCTGGACCGTGTTTAAGAAGAGAGACTGGGAGCCCCTTCAGGAAGCCGGTCCAAATGGGGTCTGACTACTGGCAGTCTAAAGGTGCTGCTGAGAGAGATTTTCAGGGGTGTAACCCTTTCCCCGGGAGGTATGCAGATGGATTCCACAGGCCTGTGGGGCTCAGGCTGCCCTCTGCAGGCTGAAGGATGTGTGGTGTGCCTGCACAAGCTGGGCAGATCTGGGGAGCCAGGGAGCTGGAATAGGGCAGCTCTAGGGAGAGGCCCTGCCCTAGGAGCAGGCTGCTTGGAGCACCGGATATCTGCCTAATTCCAAATGCACATAGTCCCCCTAAAGGCCCAGCTGGAGGAAACTGCACATCCTTGCCATTATGGGGCTCCAAAGACTCGCTGGGGTACCCTTCAATGAAACAGCTGGGAGCACTGATTGCTGTGCAACTCAGCATCCCCAGTGTGCAATCAGTTCAAACGTGGAAATCTGCCACCATGTAATGATTTTCGGGGGTGTGCCCCCTCCTTTCAGAAGGTAACTTTGTTGAGGAGGTCGGAGCTCCACTGGCTTGTAGGGTCCTGGACACACAAAACTGGTTGATCACTGCATACTTCACACACACGTCCCACACAGGGATGTACCTAGGGATCTGTACAGTGAGAAGTTCAGGAGAAGCCTGGTTTCAGGAGCGGGCTGTTGGGGGTACGTGGAACCTATCCATTTCCAAACGTGTACTAACTCAAATGTACCTATTTCCTTTGAAGGCTGAGCTGGAGGAGAGTGGACTTCCTTGGCCGGTGCAGCAGATTAAATGTTCGATAACGTGGTATCTCTGTATAATAGACACCTGTGAGGACTGACGAAGCTGGGGATCGAACAGGCAGACGGTCCTGGGGCTGATAGTCACCACATTAAAATTGCTGCCAAAGAAATAGTTGTGGGGCATTGATCCCACAGCCAGGTGGCCAGCAGATGGGTTGGGACCAGGTTGTCCTCCACAGGCCTGAGAGACCCCAGCTGACAGTGGCAGGCTGGGGAGGTACCTACTGCTTATGCACAAAATATGGAGGTCCAGATAGGCAGGAACCCGGAACAGGGCAAGAATCTTGAAAGGCTGGGTCTTGGGAGGGGGTTCTTGGGCCCACAAGAACTTACCCTTTCCAACAAAAATGTGCTTTGAGACTGAAGGAGAATGGACTGCCTTTCCAGGACCGAGACGACTTGGGCTGCAGGAGTAATACTCATGGGTACACCTGGGAGCTTTAATTACAGGTAAGCCCTAGAACCGAAGGCAACCATTCGGAATGCGACTGAGCTGTGCAGATTTAAAACTGAGACTCAGAAATATTTTAGGGGGATGAACTTTCCATGGAACGGAGACTATGCACATGGTTGGGAACAAAGGAACTCCAGGCCAGGGAAAAATAAGAAAGGGGTTAAAGTTCAGGGTTTTGGTTACAGGTTTGGATAGTGTCAGGGATAGGATTTATGGTTTGGGGGTAGGATTTAATGTTAGGGTACGGGTTAGGGTATTGGTTAGGGTACGGGTTAGGGTTAGGCTACAGGCTAGTGTAAGGGTTAGGATTAGGGTATGGGTTAGGGTTAAGGTACGGGTTATGGTACAGGTTGGGTTATGGGTTAGGGGTTAGGGTTTAGGTGACGGGTATGGGTTAGGGTACGGGTTAGGGTTAGGGTACGGTTAGTCTCTGGACCGAGACTTGCGGGAATAAAGCAGTCAGGAGCCCACCTAAGGTTGGGGTTAGGGCCTAGGGGCATGGCAGATAGAGCTCTCCTGCTCTCAATGCTTTCAGAAGTGTCAAATGGTGCATTTTGCTTTGTGGTGTCAGTCTGTGTCCTCCTGTAATGCTCAGGTGGCCCAAATCCTTGGGGCATGGAGCCAGGGACCTAGGGAGAGACCTCTCAGAAGCCACGTGATGGTTAGTGTTAGGGCCCATGTGCACGGCACCCCTGGTGTGCGGGAACTGTGGCGAGCTAGGGATGGGCGGAGTGTCTTGAGGGCAGGAGTCACATTGAATGTCAGGCTCAGGCGGTGCAGAAATTTCAGTTTCGCCGGGATGGGCATTCAGAGTTCTGCTCCGAGCATTTCCCAGAGTTCCCAGTGGTGTGGTTTCCTTCTGGGTGGCAGCCTGAATCCCTTGATAATGCTCGGCTGTCCCGAATACCTGGTGCTTTGGAGCAAGGCTCTGGGGAGAGACACTCAGAAGCCAACCTAGGGTTAGGCTTAGGGCTTAGGGGCATGACAGGCCTGATGTGCCAGCGCTGTGATGAGTTTCCCAGGGTCTGAGTTGAGGCCGTGGGTCGGGGGGGTTAGTATCAGGCTCAGGGATTGCGGCCTGGGAACATTGAGATCGGGGTTCGTTGGGATGGACCGGTACAGTTCTCCTGCTCAGAATGCTTACCAGAGTTCCCAATGGCACATTTTCCTTTGAGGTGGCAGGTTGAGTCCTCTGATACTTGTCAGGTGTCCCAAATCCCTGTGGCTTTGGAACCAGTTCTAGGGACAGAACACTCAGAAGCCAACCTAGGGTGAGGCTTAGGGCTTAGGGTCATGACAGGCCTGATGTGCCGACGCTGTGATGAGCTTCCTGGGGACTGAGTTGAGTCCGTGGTTCAGGGGGGAGTATCAGGCTCAGAGATTGCGGCCTGGGCACGTTGAACTCGGGGTTCGTTGGGATGGATGGACATAGTTCTCCTGCTCGGAATGCTTACCGGACTTCCCATTGGCACGTTTTCCTTTTTAGTGGCAGGCTGAGTCCTCTGGCACTGGTCAGGTGTCCCAGATCCTTGGGGCTTTGGAGCCAGGCTCTGGGGACAGAGGGCTCAGAAGCCAACCTAGGGTTAGGCTTACGGCTTAGGGGCATGACAGGCGCTTCCCTGGGTCTGAGTTGAGGCCATGGGTCAGGTTGAGTGTCAGGCTCAGGGTTAGCCACCAGAGGGCGCCAAATTTGTGCGTTGGCTGGGATGGGCATTCAGAGTTCTTGTGTTCTGACCGCTCTCTGGAGTTCCAAGTAGTGTTTTTTAATTCTTTTTGGCAAGCTGAGTCCTCTGGTGTCACTTAGCTATTGCCATCCCTGGGGCTTTGTAGCCAGGCTTCTTGGGACAGAAGCTCAGAAGCTAATCTAGGGATAGGCTTACTGCCTAGGGTCATTTCAGGCCCCATCTGCCCACGCTGGGGCAAGCTTGGGGGGCAGTGGATCTGAGTTGGGGCGTGGGTCAGGGTGAGAGTGAAGCTCACCGTTTGCGGGCAGAGGGCCGTTGAAAGTGGCATTTCGCTGGGATGGGTACGCAGAGTGCTCCTACTCGGAAACGTTTGCCACAGGTTCACAATGGTGTGGTTTCCTTCTGGGAGACAGGCTGCATCCTCTGGTATTGCTCAGGTGCCCCCAGTCCCTGTGGCTTTAGAGCCAGGCCTCTGGGACCAGAGCCCTCAGAGGTCCAAGAGGGATAGGGTGAGGGCCTAGGGGCAGGGCAGGCCCGATGTACCAGCACTGTGGCCTGCTTCCCGGGGGTTTGTCTGAAGGTCCTGGGTGAGGTGGAAAGTCAGGCTCAGGGTTTGTCGCTAGAGGGCGCAAAATTTGTCCATTCCTTGGCATGGGCATTCAGAGTCCTCCTGCTCTGATTGCTTTCAGGAGTGTGAATGGTGTGTTTACTTTCTGGGTGGCAGCCTGAGTCCCTCAATAATGCTCGGGTGTCCCGAATCTGTGGGGCTTTGTAGCCAGGTTCTGGGGACTGACCCTTCAGAAGCCAACCGAGGTTGAGTGTTAGCACATAGGGACATGGGAGGCCTAATATGCCAGCGCTGTTTCGAGGTTCCCGGCGGTGGGGGTCAAGGGCGTGGGTCAGCGTGAGGGTCTTGCTCTTTTTTTCAGCCAGGGGACCGCTGAAAGTGTGGTTTGCTGGGATGGGCATGACACGTTCTCCTGCTGTGTATCCTTTCTGGAGTTCCTAACAGCGGGCTTTCTTTCTGGGTGGAAGGTAAGTCCTCTGGTATTGTTCTGGAGTGAACCCTAGGGAACAAAGCACTCAGGAGCCAACCAAGGGTTGGGGTTAGGGTCTAGGGGTTAGAGCGTAGGGGTTAGGGCATAGGGGTTAGGGTGTAGGGCCTAGGGTTAAGCTTAGGGTTAGGGCCTAAGGTAGGGCCAGGGTTAGGGTTAGGGCCTAGGGTTAGTGCATAGGGTTAGGGTTAGGGGTTAGGGTACAGGAGCTCTGGGCTCTGCTGACACTGTCACAGTGTCCACAGGAGAAGGGCGGCCCACGTGAGTGCTCACTGGCTCATTGTGTCAGATCACGCTAGAGCAGAGGGGCAGCTTGGGCATGGAGTCTCAAACTGTGCATCCGTTTGTGTTCTAGTCTTCCAGCAAATACACCATAGGCCCTTGCACCCACCAGGTAAGACATGGCTCTGCCTTCTAGGAGCGGGCAACCTGGAAAGAGAACGAGATTAAGACAAAGTACACAGCATAGTGATCTCCTGAAAATCGTTTTTGAGTGGCTGAAGGCCTGAGGAAGAATGGGTCTATTTTGTGTCTCCCTGTGCTACACTTCTGGCCTCAGTTAAGGGTAGACAGTGGGATGTATTTATTTAGTGCCACACTGGATGACTGGGGACTTCCTTTGGGGCTGGGAGGAGCACCGCTCAGAAGGTAGGGTCAATGCTGCGCCAGGAACCCAGGACTTTCTAAAGGCAGGTGAAGCTGGGTATGAACTGGTGAGCTGGGCCTGAGCAGGTGTGAGCCAGGAGTAAGCAGGGCAGGACAGAATTCCTGGGCCTCCACCTGTCTTGGGGTTAGGACCTCCGGTCCCTGGAGACCCTTTATGGCCCTCCAACAGCCCTGAGAACAAGCCCTATAGGGAAGGTATTCTACCTCAGGAGACTGCGATCCTGGGGAATGGCCTGGGGCCTGCAGTGTTGAGCATCCCCTTCCTCTTGCCATCTCTGGGCTCAGATATGCAAGCCTCACCTGTGATACAGGTCTTGATTTTCCCATGGCTCTTTCCTCAGGGGTCCCCCTGACACTTGGTGTTTGCCCTTGGTGCAGGGTCCTGAAACACTCTGTGGACGCCACCTATGAGGAGCCGGGCCCAAGCCCTACGTACCGCATGGAGCTCTCCATCTTCTACGTGGTCTACTTCGTGGCCTTCCCCTTCTTCTTCGTCAACATCTTTGTGGCCTTGATCATCATCACCTTCCAGGAGCAGGGGGACAAGGTGCTGTGTGAATGCAGCCTGGAGAAGAACGAGGTGGGTGGCTCCCTCTTCTGCCCCATGTGCATGTGTACATTGGATAACCTGCTGGTCTTCCCTGATGGGCAACATGGGCAGACCCACTGGAGTTCCCTTCCGCATGGGGCTCGCTCATCACCGCATAGCTGGTGGCCAGCACAGGGGCAGGGAGAGACCGAGTGTGGCTGGTCAGGGCTGCCTGCGAGGATGGAAGAGACAGGTGTAGGGTGCAGTTGGTGCCGCAGTGTGGGATTCCTCCCAACCCCACCACGTTCTCAGTGCTCCTTTGTCCCCGGGCAGAGGGCTTGCATTGACTTCGCCATCAGCACCAAGCCCCTGATGTGGTACATGCCCTAGGACAAGCAGTCATTCTGGTACAAGACATGGACATTTGTGGTCTCGCCTCCCTTTGAGTACTTCATCATGGCCATGATCGCCCTCAACACAGTGGTGCTAATGATAACGTTATGTTGGCCCAGCACGGGGGACAGTGGGTGCCAGCTGGGGTGTGTGAGAGAGAGAGAGCCATAGTTGCAGCTGATCACATCCTGGTCACCATGAGATGCCTATAGAAGCCCAGTGCCCTGGGTTCTCTGTGGGCTGAGATGGTGAGAGTGTCCTGGGAGAAAACAGGGAGAGCAGGGACGGGTATCCCTACCCTGGGCAGGTGTGCAGTTCTCTCTGCTCTGGCAGGAGATCAAGGCTGGCGTGTCATGGGGCAGCCGAACCTGCAGCCAATGGCACTTATTCCCCGTGCAGTTCTATGACGCACCATATGAATATGAGCTAATGTTGAAATGCCTGAACATTGTGTTCACATCCATGTTCTCCATGGAATACATGCTGAAGATCATCGCTTCTGGGGTGCTGGTAGGTGCCTTGGCTCCCTCTTGGCCTTTTGGTGGTCTGCATTCTGGCTCACTCTCTGTAGGGGGGATTTTCAGGGACTTTTAGCTTAGAGCTGGGAATTCCCCAAGCCCCCAGAGCAAATGTGACATTGCGGGGGCTCCTGAGGAAGGGGCTGCTCCAATACCCTGAGCTGTCTGAGCTCTGCCCTGAGCCCAGTTCCTGGAGACAGGCGGGGCCAGCCTCCTCCTCTTTGGACACACAGCTCTCAGTTCTGCACCTGCCCAGACCCACAGGTGTTTGCTTACCCAGCTGTGGTGTCCCCCCTGGGTGGTCCATCTGTCCCTTTTCTCCTTTCTTGATTAGGGGTACTTCCTGCAACTCCTTGCCTGGCAGAACCCTTACCAGCCTCTAGCAGTAACTGCTCTTTTTTCTCTCCAGAACTATTTCTCAGATGCCTGGAATGTCTTTGACTTTGTCACTGTGTTGGGAAGTATTACTGATATTTTAGTAACAGAGATTGCGGTAAGTAGTGTTTCCTGTCCTTCCTGCGGGCCCCAGAATGGTATCCTTCTAGGCAGTGCTGCTCAGTGCGCCTCCAGGTCCTGAGTGTTAGCCCCTTCTCTCTTGCCAGAGTTCCCCAGGAGCCCCTGAAAAGAAGGAGCCTCCGCTCCAGAGGTGAAGTTGGGAATTGGGTATTGTCTTGGGAAATGCTTTCTCTCGGATGAGAAAGTGGTTTCCAAAAGGTCTAGGCTGGTAGTCTGAGAGTTACCTGGGAACTTCGTTGTAACAACTGACCAGGAAGATAAGAAACTTTTAAATCCATGTGGGTCTGACAAATCTAACAACTTGGCACCAAAGTACATGAACTAAAACCAACAAGAATTTCGAATATTTTAGAATATTAGGTTTGTTTTACGTGTGTGTGTGTGTAAATAAAATGGGATACTCATTCATATCAAACGTACACAGATTATATGTAAAAACTGACCAAGTGTTAAAATATGAAATTGTCTTGACAAATTTCAAGGAATCTGAATCATAAAGCAGTATTCTTTGAGTACAATGCATTATGTCAGCATTAAATGGCAAAAAATCTAATCTCAGTCCTAAGGTGACTTCTCCAGGAGCAGACACTTAAGCTGGGGTTCTTGTACAAGTCATTTCTTAGGAAGCACTCCCGGGCAAGACCATGAGAGGGAAGTTTGGGGAAATGGACGGCTAAGAGAAGGGGGATCAGAAATGGATCTGGAGCCAAGTGCCGGGGTGCATCTGGGTCATCCCCGATGGGGGCTTGGAAACAGGGTGGTCACCCCTCAGAGCTGCAGAGCTCATGCCTCTGTACAGATTAGCCCACCACCAAGGGCTGCACCTGGGGGCTGCAGTTGTCAGATACCTCCAACCCTTCTGAGTACACCCCACGTGCAGGCAAAACAGGCTCTGGCACCACTGGGGAGGAAGGAATATCAGACTCCTTGGTAACAAGACCGCACTGGAGCGCACGAGTGTCTGCTGTTACCCTGGCCCCACTCAGCTCTGCCCACGTCTCACACTGGGTTCACTTCCCTCCTTCTTCAGGATGATGCTGGTCACGTTCTCTGGGAGAAGAGGGTTGGTGACCAGCTAGATCTAGTCTGAGTTAAGTTCATGTTCATTAACTTATTCTTCCTAACCCCTTTTGGGGTCCCCTGAATGGTGGCCAGCCTTCTGTCGCTCTAGTTGCTGGGCAGGATGAGGCAGCCCACACTGTCACCCTATGAAGCCCAAGCCCCTGCTTGTCACACCCTTGTGTGTTTCTGGCTGCCATAGTAGTCCAGTCATAATTAAGACTGGTCATAGAACACAGAAAGGCCCTAGTGAACCCCCTGATTTCCAGATAGACTTCTTCCTACCCTATGCAATGGTAGCTCTTCCCTTCTCCATTCCCAGCATCCAGTACCCTGGCCAGCCTGGACACTCTGCTCTGCCTCCTGATCTTACGGCATGAGGAGCATAAGTGACAGGGGCCCACCATGACTTTGGTGTTCCACAGTGGAAGCCTTCCCTACCCCTTGAGCCAGGACCTCTAGATTTGCCAAACCTAAACTTATGGAGATGATGAGAACAAAGTCTGACCTGGGTTGCTGGAGGATAGTGAGAGGGGCCACCCCTACTTCCACCCCTTGCTTTCTGGATCTGTGTGACAGTTGGATACCCAGTACCATCTCTTGTTTGTCAGTTCATCTTGAAGGACAATATCCCAACCCTGTGAGGTACATCACCAAGCCAGCATTTAATCTATGTCTTTAAGAGGCTTTTTCGGTGTTTTATGAGGTTTCCACCTGTGAAAGATGTTGAATATTATATGCCAGTGGATCCCGAGTTACCTGCTCCTTTTGTACCTGCTTCCGCTTGCTCATTTTGGAGTCGATGTTATGTGGAATCCAATATGGGTAAATCTCTGGTACTTGTGTGGGCCAAGGTATTCCATGGGCAAAGACAAACCCACACCCAGAGTATGAGTGATCCCAGTAGAGACAAATCACTGCCATTTCCAGGTGAAAGGATTCTCATGTAAGCAAATTGCTACCAAGTGGCTGGCTGACAGCCTAAAGCATGTTGCATTGTAGAGGCCTCGTTGTCTTCTGGACATAGTGGCCTGGGTGTCTAGTAGTGGTCATGGCTGGATCAGCCCAGCCATGGGCTCAGGCACAGCCTTAATCTCAGCCATCATGGTCATTCCATTCATGGATCTACTATGTGAACACTGGGGTTAGTGAGAATCGAGGCTGGCTGTCATCTGTTGGGTAAACCATCTCAAGGCCTGGTTTTTAGTGCCCCTACAGTTGTGGATGCTTTGTGGTGGACACTGATGTGTAATACAAGGACCTGCATTTGGCCTCCATTCCCTAGGCCCATGTGGATGCCTTTCCCCAACCTTTGTTCCCTCCGGAGCCCTGGCCAAGCTTTAGCTCTTGCCTAAGTTCCTGTAATCCATACCACAGGCAACTTCTTTCTCCATCTGCACCATGGCTGCTCAGGTTCACCACCTAGAACTTTGCCTCACCACTGTCTTCCAGTTCGTCTCTGTGTGGGGTTCTAGTGACACCAATGTATTGAGCCAACCGCTTCATGTAACAGGCTTGAGTTTTGCCTCCTGGCTTTAGTTATCATCCCATGATATGTTGTGGTAGGAGGGAGCTAAGGAAGACAGGTGCAGCAAAGGTGCAAGGCCTGGGGCACTGGGCCACCTGCCATGAGAATCTGCCCTCTATTTTGAGTGAGGTAGGAAGAGGAGTGACATAATCTGGGTTTTCAGACCAAACCTCTGGCTGAGTATATAGTGCAGGGCACAGGCAGAAGCAGCTAGGCAAGTTAGGGCTTAGTTGGATTATCCCAGAAACAGACCCCAAGACAGGAGTTCAATGCAAGTCATTTATTTGGGAGGTGATCCCTGGAATACTAGGGGAAAAAGGAAGTGTGCCAGGGAAGGGGGGCAGCCAATACATGGTACTATAAAGCCAGGTACCACTGTGGGTCCTCATTGGGAGCCCTGAGCCTCCATTATCCCAGCAAGTGGCGGGGTGACTGGGGTATTTTTTTGAAGATTTTATTTATTTATTTGAGAGAGAGAATGAGAGATAGCACGAGAGGGAAGAGGGTCAGAGGGAGAAGCAGACTCCCCGCTATTCAGGGAGCCCATTGCGGGACTCGATCCCAGGACTCCACGATCATGACCTGAGCCGAAGGCAGTCGCTCAACCAACTGAGCCACCCAGACACCCGACTGGGATATTTTTCAGCAAGTGCTGTTAGCTACTAGTTGAAGGCTACTGGGGAGAGGGGGCCAGAGAATGTTAATTCTCATGTCCTGCCCTTGGAAAATTCTCAGGAAAAAACGATGTTGATGCTGAGAATTGAGTATTGGGCCTGTGAGGATGTGAGTGCCACTGAATGACATAGCAGGGAGCCCAGCAGAGGGTCTAAGGCGAGAGATCATCATTCTGGATGTATTTTCCAGTAGAGTTGCAGATGGACCACATGTCTCTGAAAGTTGAGCAAGAATGGCATCAAAGTCTGAGCACTTGGGAACGTCGATTATCATTAATTGAAATGGGAAAGACTGTGGGTGGAACAGGTTTGTTGTGGACTGTTTGTACATGTGGAGTGGATGCAATTTGTACATGTTAGATT